ACATGTTTTAAATTACTATTCAAATCATAACATATTATCTTGTATACTATTCTAATAAACAATGATTCCCCATTGTCAGTTATAAAGAAGAAATTTCCATAGTTCAAGAAGCTAAACAAACTAGCATCTTAAAAAGATCCTGAAACACAAGAAGTAATTCGAAGACATCAACAACACCATACATAGATTACCTTCCATGGGATTACCAAGAAAACTCAAAAGGGTAAGAAAGAAATCGCAGCATATCCAGGTGCTGATATTGCATCCGATCATAATCCGCTAATAGCAGATGTGAGGTTAAAACTAGCAAAAATTAAGAGAACAAATACAAATACCAGCACACCTATAAATACAAGAGAACTGATGAGAGACGAAAATCTGAAGCAGAGTTATGCGAATCAAATTAATGAAAGAATGCGAGTAATAGGACAAAATTATGATATCGAAGAGATGGTCAATGATATTAAAGGAACGATTCTGGCAGTAAACAGGGAAGTTAAAACACATATCAGAAAGATAAAGCATAACGAATGGATGACGGACGAAATTATGGATCTAATGGAAAAGCGAAGGCAACATAAACAACAACGTAATCAAGACAAATACAAACAGATACACAAAGAAATCCGTCAGAAAATTAAGAAAGCAAAAGAACGTTGGATGGTGGAAAGGTGCAACGAAATAGAACAATTGCAGGAAAAAGGAGATAGTTTTGGACTACATAAGAAGATCAAAGAAATATCGAATATACACAAAAGCCACCACAGAACAAGAATACGCAACGACAGAAACGAATACATAGAGTCAGAAGAAGAGATAGCAATGGCGTGGAAAGAATACTCAGAAAGCCTTTTTAATGACGAAAGACCAACACAACCAACGCGCAAACTTCCTTCCGAAAACTTATCAGGGCCATCAATAATGCGAAGTGAAATAGAATATGCAGTTAGAACCACAAAGATGCATAAAGCAACAGGTCCAGATGAAATTAATATAGAAGCAATAAAACTACTAGACGAGGAGAATATCGAAATCTTGGTAAGGCTGTTCAATAGAATTTATGATACTGGTTACATTCCGTGAGAATGGCTGCAGTCATCCTTTGTGATGATCCCAAAAACAGCTAATGCCACAAAATGCAATGAACACCGCTTAATCAGTTTAATGAGTCACTTGTTGAAACTCTTCCTTGGGATATTACACTCAAGAATGTATAAGATACTAGAAGAACTTAGCGGGTCAACACAATTCGGTTTTAAGGGAGGACTAGGAACAAGAGAGGCAATTTTATATTTGAACACCTTAATACAAAACTGCTTAGATCAACGAAAAGATGTCTACCTCACCTTCATCGACTACGAGAAGGCATTTGACAATGTTAAACATGATATCATGATGGAACTACTACATAGGGCCAACATTGACCAGAAGGAGATCAGAATTATTCAGAATCTATACTGGAACCAAATGGCAAAGGTGAGGATTGATCAAGACCAATATACGGATGAATTTGAAATCCGGAAAGGTGTCCGCCAAGGCTGCATACTCTCTCCGATGCTTTTTAATTTATATGTTGAAAATATATTTGCGGAAGCATTAGAAGATACGGAATTAGGCATTAAGGTGAACGGCATACCAATTAGCAACCTACGCTATGCGGACGACACAGTGATTATAACTGATAATTTGGAAGATCAGCAGTTATTACTTGATAGGGTGAATAGCATAGGTAAAAAATATGGCCTCAAAATCAACATTTTGAAAACGAAATATATGGTCATTAGCAGAAACCCTCCAGAAAACCCGATATTATGCATAGGTGACAATCGCATAAATCGCGTGAAAACTTTTAAATACCTTGGCACCACAATCAATGACCAATCGGATCCACAACACGAGATAAAAACCCGAATACAAATGGCAAGACAAGCTTTTGTGAAATTCAGACCGCTCCTATGTAATCAACACCTAAACTTCGAAATACGCTACAGAATGGTCAAGTGCTACATATGGTCCATCTTGCTTTATGGCATGGAAACCTGGACTTTGAAAAAAACATCTATCAACAAACTTGAAGCATTTGAAATGTGGTCATTGAGAAGAATGATGCGCATACCTTGGGTGGATAGAGTTCGAAACGATGACGTCCTTAATAGAGCCGGCGTGGAAAGAGAACTCTTTGAATTAATTAAAAAACGCAAGATTGGTTACCTTGGGCACATATTGAGAGGAGCAAAATATGAAATACCACAGTTAATCCTACAGGGAAGATCGAAGGTAGGAGAGGAGCCGGCCGCAAACAATTGTCCTGGTTAAGGAATATTAAAGAATGGACAGGAATACACAATACAGGTGAGCTGTGTCACGCCGCCAAGAACAGAATTCTAGTAATGAGATAGTCGCCTACGCACTTTGGTGTATGGCATGTTAAGAAGAAGAAGAATGCAAAAATACTGGTGAAATGAATGTAAAGTCATAGAACATAAGATATACCAGCAGAAGGAGATAGGGTAGAAGAAATACAACCTAATCGATAACGTATGAAGACCGAGTAATATATATTACAGGATCCGTTCTCCTCCGCCAATCCTCTCGGTCCATGAGCGTCGAGGTCGAATTACATATGGTGTTAAACTTAACTAAGGAGTGGCTTTGGATGTTGAAGCGTGGCACTGCATGTCCTCAGCATACTTTTCATAAGATGGTACGTAACCACTGATTGCTAATCGCAAGCATGATGTCATATGATCGTCAGTTAGTCGATTGCGATTGACTTAATTATCTTCATTTCAGAAAATGCAGACTCGCACAAGTAAGTTGACCCAAAAAATGCCGTCAGTTGAAGGGCGATTTGCCTTACATTCGGATATTTATCTTCAGATATAAAACGCCAGAAATTTGTATCAGATACTGTAGCTTTGAGATGTATATCTGATATAATCTGCACCAACTCATTTTCAACAGAACATGAGTTCATATTAAACTGACTTACTATTTCAGTAGCTAATTCCTCAATGTTTTTACATGAAAAAGGATAACTCATAAATGATGCTATATTTTCCAATTTACTGCAATCATAAAAACGCATTTCGAATTTTCCCAAAATATTTTATAATTCAGCCTCATACGTATCATAATTCAACTGAGGAATCCTTGCTTTCAAAGACGGAAAATGTTTCAGATCCTTTCTTTTCAGTTGATCTATCATAAGTTGCAATTTACTTTTGAATGCGTTTACTGCGCTAATCATCTCAATAATAGTTTTTCCTTTACCTTGAAGCTCCAAGTTAACGGTGTTTAAGTGCATTGTGATGTCAGTCAAAAATGCCAAATCATTTAGCCATTTTTCGTTTTTCAAAATCTGAGTGTCATCACCTCTTTCGTCTAGAAAAGCTGTTATTTCGAGCAATAATTCTTGAAACCTTTCTAGGAATTTTCCGCGACTCAACCACCTGACGTCCGTGTAAAGAACTAAATCAGTGTGTTCAGCTGACTCCCTATCTTCCAACTGCAACTGAAAGAGCCGCCGTTGCAAGCTACGTGCACGGTTGGAATTCACAATTTTTGTTGCAATGCCCATAATTTCCTCCGTGTTTAAAACTTTTGAACACAAAACTTGTTGATGTATAATGCAATGGAATGAAAAAAAAATGAAGGGAATTCTTCATTAGCTCGACACAATGCCACAAAACCGTTTTTGTTTCCAGTCATTGCTGGTGCTCCATCGGTTGTAATGCACATTAATTTATATATTGGTAGCTCGTAGTTTTTTACAAAATTTAAGAAAACGTCATATATATCTTCGCCACGGGTCTTCCCCTTCAGAGGAATGATTGTCAAAAATTCTTCCTTAGCCAACATGTCATTGAATACCATCCGAATAAAAATACACAGCTGGGCAGTGTCTGTCATATCGATGGATTCTTCGAACTGTAAAGAAAAGTATGTACATTCCATGATATCATGTTTTAGTTTATCTGCGATGTCTTGACTCATTACTTCAATACGCCTTGTGACAGTTGGACGAGATAACTGAAGTTCTCTAATAGCAGACATGATTTCTGTTTTATTTTTAAAATCTCCAAATAAAGTCTCACCCGCTTCAATAAATGCTTCCTTCACCACCGATCCATCTTCAAATGGTTCCTTGTGTTTCGCCAAAATATGAGATATTTTAAATGACGCGATCGTAGCAGCTTTAGATTGTTTGCCTGGTCTTGTGAACATGGATTGTTCTTTTTTCAAACAAGATATCAAATCACTTACTTTTCGTTTTCTTAATTCACTCTGTGGCGGAAAATGCTTTTCATAGTTTTTATGAAGCGTTTTATGATGCCTCTCTAAGTTACCACGCTTAGGTATTGCAACTGACGCACGACAAATAACACAAATGCACTTATCCTTCACCATAGAAAAGAAAAATTCTTCCTCCCAATCCTTATTAAAAAGATACGTTTTAGATTTCTTCACTGCACTCATTTTCCACTATTTAATAATAAACTTTGTATCGACGTAGGATCGCTATCAAGTTACATGTCAGAATAACTCCAATTCCTGCAGGCACAACATTTATATCGGCGTGAACGAAAGTCTCGAATGTTCCCGTCAAACACGCCACCCGAAACTAGACTGTACTGTCTCTCGTCTAGAAACAACACGGCTTTTCTTTGACAAGTGGCGCGCGTTCCTTTGATAAAGCCACCTTTTGCCGCAAGCAGTGTTATTTTATTACGTAATACATTTTTGTAGTTGATAGAATATCATCCCAAATTTGATTAATAATTATAATAAATATTGAATTAATAAAATAATTAGTTAATATATGTAAATATAAAATATGCTGTGTGGACAGTATTTTGTTGTCCCCACTTCTTTGAATTGCAATGATGCTTAGTCAAGCATTCTATGTATTTGTATAGTTCAGTATTAATAAAAACGTTTAACTCTGCTGACAGTTTAGTTACCTACCTACTTATTAAAATTTTTTTTCTGTTCGAGATCTACCCAAAAAGCACTCGCGATCGACCGTTTGAGCACCCCTGTCCTACATCATCTTGTATTTTTCCATTTATTATCTTTCCAAACAATCTCCCGAAAGTAGGCAAGACACTTAGTCCTCTATAGCAGTTAGGATCTTTTTGATTACCCTTTTTAAATATGGACACTTGGTGAGCGGTTTTCCATTCAGATGGTACTTTAATTTGTTGGCAGCATTGGTCCATTAGAAAAGTTATCTGTTCTATTAGGAGTGGACCTCCTGCTTTAAGTAACTCTACAGCTATATTGCCAGGTTCTGGAGATCGTCCGTTTTCATTTTAATTAACGCAGTACGGATCTCGTTGTTAGTAGTATTATTGTTACTATTTGTTTGTCTCTTCATACTGTATTCCTCTACCATATATTCCAAGCTGGACTCTTGGTGTAAATTTTTAGTAATTTTCCCACTTTTCTATAGGAATTAAGTTGCTTAAGGAGTTATCGGTGTTTTTCTTTACATTAGTGATAGTTCTCCATGCTTCCGGAAATTTTCAACTTGGACACGTAACTCTGTTTTTCCTTTGATATGTTACTGCTAAATGTTTTATTTGTTAGCAATTTCTATATATTTTGCTTTTTTCTTGTATCATTTCTTTTTTTTCTGTCATCCATGGTTGTTCATGGTGTTTTTATCATTGTTCTCTGTTCCTAATACTTCATAAGCAATGTTTTATTATCGTTTTGAGGTTGTTGTATTCTTGTTCTACATTCATATTTCTTTCCATCTCATTTAGTTCCTTTTTTAATGTAGATTGAAAAAGATGTTTAATACTTGGTTGGAATAAAAGGAGCAATTTATATCTCTCCGTTTTGAACGTTTTTAGTATTGTTTCTCTCACTTTCGGTGTTCTGTTTGTAGTATTGTTTAAAGGGGCACAAAAGATTAGCTAAAAGAAAGTGGTGATCTGTCCCACAGTTAGATCCTCTTTTTACTCTCCAGTCTTGGCACTTAAATTTTGATACCAAGAAAATAAATATATTAAAAAAAAACATCATAAATTTGTGTCAATACACATTGGTTATTCCACCAGTATGAAAACGAAATATCAAACATTATCACTAGTCCTCAAAAAGAAGGTAATTTTGTCAATTTAAAAATTGTAAATGTCTATAAAAAGGAAAGCGAATATAAAAACATTCTTGTTTTTAACATCCTTGTTTTTATGTCTTTCGGGTAGCAGAAAACAGTACTGGCTTGAAAAAGATTGGCTTTTGAGAAATTTCATGATTCAACGAAAACAAAACGTAATTAACGAACCTGTAGTTGTAAGAGAAAAAATGATATTGCCACCCCTGCATATCAAGTTGAGATTTATGAAATAATTTGTAAAGGCTTTAGATCGGATAATTTTATAGATACTTGACACATCAATTTCCTGGAATAACCACAGAAAGAAAAACCTTACACAAGACCTAAAGATCCACAATTCGCAAAATCAATGAAAAAAGTTAAATTGAATGCTTAGTGCTCTTTTTTTTAAGAAGTACATTTTCTTGTAAATAATAAGGCAGATAACATAGAATTGGTAGAAAATATTCTTAAAAATTTTTCATATTCTTGGTCCACCTTCACAATCATTTAGATCGATTTCCAGAAAACATGGATGACTTCAGTGAAGAAAAAAGAGAAAGATTGCAGCAGGATATTAAAACCATGGAAACTCGTTATCAAGGAAGATGGAATATATTTTATATATACATAGTAATAGCCTAATTCATATTTTTTTGTTTTTTACTGACAAATAATAACGAGAAATACATAAAAGTTAAAAATTACTTTTTCTATTCTATAAAAAGCCAATCTTAGCACAAAAATGGCTGTTGGACTGTATTATGATTAAATAAATAATATAAATAGATCATTGTTAAACAGATACCAACTAAAATACAATATAAGTTTATAAATATGCTTGAGGAACAAGTCCAGTAAGAAATAAATAATAGACAAAGCCCAAAATGTTGTTTAAGTAATATGATCAAATGTTTCAATAACTGTATACCATAGAAGTAAAGTTCCTACCGTAGTCTTATCGCAGACAATGTGTTTACTCTCAACTGTCGCTGGGACTAGCATTGTAGCACCTTCAATAACTATTTTACATTGGAAACCAGTATGCACTGATGTTGGGTTCGGAAGATTAATAACTTCAAATACTATCTTTTTCAACACATTGTTAGGTAATAGAATCGCTTCATTTTTTCGTTTAAATTGTGGACAGAAAACGAATCCATGCTTTGGCAAATGAGTTGGATTCTGAAAACAAAAAAAAAGATACATAGGCATTGTGTACACAATTATCTGACTTCTTTAAAACATAATTTTAGATGTACAGTAAAACCTCCATTAACCGAAACTTCTTGAACGGAAACATCGTTTAACCGGCAATGATATTGCCAATATTTATAAGTTGCGTTCCTGGGACGACTTTGTTGAAAGATAGTTAATTCGATTACATGAAATCTACCCCAACTCAAGAATATCCGTCACAAAAAAATCATAACATGTAGTATGTCTTTAAATAGACAACCACATGCAATGGTGACAGTAAAATTCTCGCGCTAGAATATAAATATAGTCCCAGAAACGCAACTCATAAATATTGGCAATATCATTTTAAAGTCTTCTACTTTAAAATGTATAATATATGTCTGAATTGCCAATATAAATGAGTCAGATTAAATAAATTATTAGAAGAATTTTTTAACTAAGCAACAACAGTTTTGTTTAATTCATTAATAATTTTTGTATTTTGACAACGACACCCGATTTGGGCGTCGAAACGTTAATAAAACCAATTTTTAGTAAAATTGTGGCTTATTTAAAAGCAAAACTAGATAAGATCTCAATTAACAAACATTTTTTTCATTTTTATAAATGCTTGTCTTGCAATTTCAATGCGTGTCCTGATTTCTCTAATAAATACATTGGTCATTGTTTTTATTTTATTTTAATGATCTGTAAGTTTCATTTGTTTAAAGGACTCATTTTTAACAATTTTCTTTTAATTTTGAAAAAAAATGCTTTTTTTTTCAAAATAACTTAAAATTTATTAGTGACACCAAAAATCACAAAGAGTAAAAAATGTAGGTTTTGCTTTTCTGAATATTTTGGTCATAACTTGCATACTCTTGATGCAAGAAACTTAACAAAAATAAACCTTTTTAAAAAACTTTAAAAAAAGTTGTAATGAGTTTTCGTCGAAAAGTGCTTCAGTTTTTTATTATTTCACGTTGAAATATTCAACATGGAATTTGACGAATAAGAATCTATTTTTCAATAATTCCAAAAGTATTGACATAGTGAAAAACCTCTATAAAACCAAAGTTGCTTAGAATTACTGATTTTAAGCACTTCCGAACTTATCTTGAACATATATTTTTTCACTCCCGATAAGGGGTGATACTGATCCATGGGGCAAAAGCATAATCTTTTTTCCTTTGACATCTTAGCTAGGCGTAAGCCAAATTTCATGTAAATCCAAGCGATTCTTTAAACTTATGAGGTTTTGCAATATTTTACCGTGAGTGAATGAACTAAATCTGGAAATAAATTCTATATATTAGCTTGAAATATTTTAGTTTGCATCAATTCTGGAAATTAATTTGTTTGAAAAGTTACAAAAAAGTAATTTACATGAGATGTAATTTATCACTGCTAATTTTATTATGTATTTTATATTTTGTTATTTTTTTTTTATTGTGTTGATAAATAAATAATTTTTAGAAAACCTGTACTGTTTTCATTAATCAATTTTTAGCGTTTTTTCTGAAGTAAAATCTTAATTTCATAATATAGATTACAAGCACGTTAAAATTACTTGTGAAAATGCTGAATGCCATCCTTATATCGTCCTCTAATGCGCTAGAGAATTGCCGGACCAGGGAACTGAAATTTATTTTTCAATATTGGCAAGATTTCAATGAATGTCGGCACCATACAGTCAGGTAGTACTTAGGCGTGAGGGGCAAAGAGGTGTAAGTGGGCGGAGTTTAACACTAAATTCGTTTTTACCTTAGAGTTAGGTATCTAGGTAGTGGTTTATAATCAATGGTTAAAGTAAAGAAAAGCAAGTAGCTCCTACATTAAATGTGAAAGAACAGAAGATTAAATGCCGCAAAACTATCTATGGACTAAGAGAGATATACATAACAAAATTTCAAGTTGGAGTATAATAGAAAGTCCAAAAAATATCATTTCCCTAGTAGATACTTTTTTCCTATTTTTTGATAATACAGTTATTCAGATGGTTGTTGAATTTTCAAATATGAACGCCAATTTACATAACCGTAAAGGCGATATTACAACCAACGAAATTAAGTGTTTTATTGGAATTTTATTATATAGTGGATTTATGTGTTCTTAGGCGATATATGTACTGGAAAACATCCCCTGATTCTACTAACGACCTTCCAGCTAATACAATGTCTAGAAGCCGTTTCAGATTCATCATACAGAATATTCATTACCGTGGTAATGCAAAATTGGATATACAGTAAAAATTTTCAAAGGTTTGACGTCTGATTGATGTAATGAATCAAAAATTTCTCGATTTAGCACCACAAGAAGTTAATGGTTCCGTATTATGGAAAACATTGATCCAAGCAGTTTATTTAATTAATCAATCTTACAATATACCAAAAACAATTTGGAATTTAGTAAACAGTGAAACTGGTAGGCAAAAGAACAGGTATGATATTATTCTACATTATGATAATAAAATTATTACCAAGTCGTGTGATATTGCTAATTCGTTTGCCTCATATTTTGCTACAATTACAGAACACAATCTTCAAACTCATTTTGGCACATCGTTACCTTCTTCTTGTACTACCTCAAAAATGTGTAACAAAACATTTTTCTTTTTACCCGTAACTCCAATTGAAATAAAAAATACAATCGATCAACTAAAAATAAGCCTAGTACTGGTATTGATAACATATCTGTAAAAATAATAAAACTGATACGTGATCATATATCGATTCCTTTAACCCATTTAGTATATATATATATATATTATATATATATATATATATATATATATATATATATATATATATATAAATATATATATATATATATATATATATAAATATATATATATATATATATATATATATATATATATATATTTATATATATATATAAGGATCACTCAGACGAGTGGTGGGTTCTTATATCGGTCTCTAGGTGGAGAAATAAAAGACAAAGTTGATAGGCTACTTTATCTATTTTGAAGACGTTTCGCTTTCGAGTTTTGAAAGCATCATCAGTTCATCTAAAAAATTATTACAATATGAGAACCACATAATTGTAATAATTTTTTAGATGAACTGATGATGCTTTCAAAACTCGAAAGCGAAACGTCTTCAAAATAGATAAAGTAGCCTATCAACTTTGTCTTTTATTTCTCCACCTAGAGACCGATATAAGAACCCACCACTCGTCTGAGTGATCCTTATATATATATTGGATTGACGGTCGTACTCCTTTTTCCGATATATATATATATATATATATATATATATTATATATATATATATATATATATATATATATATATATATATCCGGTTTTTTTAGGCGTTACGCCCGTCCGGTAGGGATCTATGGAGGAGTATCACCGAGCCGTAAGCCCTTATCTCTTGCCGTACTGCTCCACCATAGGCCGATCAGATCCCAGCATATTCTAGTAACCCATTTAGTTAATCTCTCAATAACAACCAGCCAATTCCCATCCATATTTAAAATGGCAAAAGTTGTTCCAATCTTCAAAAAGAATGACCCTCATATTTCAAATTATAGACCAGTATCTGTCCTTGTACAGGGGTGTAGGGTTGTGTTATAGAGGTAGTACCTTTTATTGGAACGACCACATCGAGCGTCATAGACGGGAGATGGTTCTAGATAACTGGTCCTCATAAGACACCTAACTCTCACTTATGGCTCCACGTGCCACACCCCGGGCAACTGCATTGGTCTGCAGGCTAAACTAAGTGAGGGTAGCCAGATATGGCGAAAATTTCACCGAGTGATTACCGAGTGATACCCTGATGAAGGGCAGCAGCGATCATCAGTACCAGCTCAAGGCGCAAAGGAAATGATCCTGGATCGGCTTGAAACTGGACTACCACAAGCATGACTGGAGCAGTTTGAATGGTTGTGGTACTGCGATGGGGAAGGCAACGGAAAACCACCTCATAAGAATTTCCTAGAATAGTTATCATGGCAATACACTACGATAACAAAAACATTACTGATCATGGTGATCGGATCCCAAGATCCGGCAGGGGAGGATGCACACAAACAAATAGTGAGGCCTCCCTGGTCGTCAGCCAGCGAAATACCTACGGCCTAAAAAAGGAAGCAAGTTCTCAACACCTAAGGATTGGAACTTGGAATGTACGAAGTATGTACGAGAGCGGCAAAACTCATAATATTGTAAAAGAAATGAAAAGATTAAAAATTGATATATTGGGAATTAGTGAAACACACTGGCAAAACTCTGGACAATTCAATATACTTGGATATAAAGTTTACTATGCTGGAAACAACACAAAACATCACAGAAACGGCACTGCAATAGTAGTTGCCCCACATATTAATTCGGCAGTAAAATCTTTCACTCCCCATTCAGATAGAATGATGCTTTTACAAATTCGAGCAACACCGGTGAATATTAATATATTACAGGTATACGCGCCAACGGCAGATAAAGATGAGGCAACCAGCGAAGAATTCTACGAACAACTGGGAAGCCTGATGAAAATGACAAAAAAACATGAAGTAACAATAGTGATGGGAGATTTCAATGCAAAGGTTGGCAGAAGCAAGGTGAATGAGATCGTGGGAAACTTCGGCCTAGGGGAGAGAAACGATAGAGGTGATAGACTTATATGCTTCTGCCAGGAATATAACCTGCTGTTAAGTAATACACTCTTCAAGCTCCCCAAACGTCGACTTTACACATGGAAATCCCCCGCTGACTCACCTTACAACATCATTAGAAATCAGATAGATTATATAGCAGTACCAACAAGATATAAAAACATGATAAAATCATCAAAAACGTACCCAGGTGCCGATGTTCCTACGGACCACAATGTGTTGGTATGCAGAATGGTCATGAGAGTAAAACGGCTCGAGAAAAGATCTAATTTAAACACAATCGATATTAAAAAACTCACTAACCCAGAAACCGAAATAAAAGTACGAGAACAACTAGGAAAGAAAATAAAGGACATTAATGAGAACACG